GTCGCGCTCGTGGGCTATGGGTGCCCGCAGAGCGGAGGCGGCGCCGGCGCTTTGTGTCCAGTGGCGTGGAGAGATCCGCCCCGTCCGCGGCTCTTCCTCCAGGCCGCCCCCCCCCCCGCCGCAGCCGCCGCTCCTCCTTGCCGGCCCGAGAGCCCCCGACTGGCGGAGGAGGAAGGCGAGGACCCCGCCGACGTGGGGCGGGTGCTACTCCGGCTGCTACTGTTACTGCCTCCGCCGCTGCTGTTGGCCGCCGCCGCGGCCGCTGACACGTTGTCCCCGGCGCTTTGCACCGCGGTAGCTGCCTTCTCCATGCAGCTCGCAGGAAGGCTGTGAGGCAGCCCCGGCCCTCGTTGTAGACAGTATCCACCGCCGGCAGGTTGGGAAATATCCGAGTCATTCGCTAAGAAACAGGGAGAGGAAAGGCTGGGCGAGCCCCACGGGCGCCTCCCTCTCAAGGGCTTTGAGTGCCCGCAGAGCGGAGGCGGCGCCGGCGCTTTGTGTCCAGTGGCGTGGAGAGATCCGCCCCGTCCGCGGCTCTCCCTCGAGGCCGCCCTCTCGCTCCAGCCCCGAATCTCTGCCTCAGGCCCGCCAGGAAGGCCGATCGCGAACGATTCCCACAGAGCTGCGAAATGTTTGGGAGGAGGAGACAAGATACCATTCGCGCCCCGCTCCTTCTGCCGGCGCTGAGCCTGCCTCCGCTCCGACTCATATGCTTGTTGGAAGATTGGTCGAGAGCGCGTTCATCTGGAATAACTTTTGTATCAGGGCTCCGGAACTGAAGGCGCGCGAGGCAGCAGCCTCGCTGAAAATCGGGCAGGCTGGGTTTGTAATTCGCTTTAAGCCGAAGGCAACAAGCCATGCGTGAATAGGCAACTCAGCTCAGTGCGAATCAGACTGCGTTTGAATTGCATCGGCAGAAGAGGCTCGGGCGGCGTCCTTACCCGATCAGGGCTTGGACGGCTGACCACGTGCTTCCCGCCCTCCGTCCCATCATGGGGGAAGAATTATCAATGGTAGCATATAAAACTTGTTGACACAGATTTAGAACAGGTACAGTACTTCTTAAAGCATGGGCCTTGGCAAATAGAGAAGGAACCAGCCCTGTGATTATTTATGCCATCTGATCTAATTCATAACTTCTCGAGAGTAAGTCCCAGGAAAAGCTGTTCTACTCATTCGGTAGAGCAGGCTTTTCCAACCTGGTCCCATCTGAATTGCTGATCTGCAAATCTCAACATGGTTTGCTGTTTGAAATGGTAAACTTTGTGATACCTTGTGGAGGACCTTATGGGGAAAGAGATGAAATAATAGATTGTTGCATTTCAGGCTGAAATGAAACATGGCATCCTTGAATCCAGGCTTGATTTTAAAAAGTAAAAAGTTAGTCCACTGGGAAGAAGAATTGGATAGGAACAGGTTTCCATTACATGCTAATTTGCTCCTGCAGGTTTTTAAAACACAAAGTCTTTCCATACCTGAAATCTGAAATGCTGCAGCTTTTATAATTTCTGAATTTTAACTTACTGAATCTAATATTCTACATTCACATGAAACCCTAAACCATACACTGATCACATGGGTTAGGCTCCTAAAAACACTATTCCATCAAAAAAAGTCCAAGTTTAAAAGTAACCAAGGTTAGCATGTGTGAATACGGCCAGCAATGTGGCTAACATTGGGGAACATCATCTTTGGTGGTAGAGCCTAGGGGCGGGACCCAGGACTTTCGTTTCACATTTTGCTGCTTTTGTACTGATGGGCTGGTACAGCTGGCTTGAGCCAGAGAAACCCCATTTTGTCCATCTTTGTTCATGGTTGCTCCCCTTCGGGCCTCTTTACCCTGAACTGCAAATTCCTGGAACGATCATGTTGCCATTATCAAAGAAGTACCATCCTGACCCAGAGCAGCATTAGACTCGAGGCCAAGACCCTTTTTGTTGTAGATAAATTAGCTAAAAGTTTTACATATCAGCCCTATCAGCTAGGGACAAATAGAAGGGAAGAGGCTGCAATATTTTAGCAAGGAGCCCACCTCTTGGGGAGGCTCTGCCCAACTGGGGGTGTGAATAATTTACTGCTTATTCCCTATTACTTACTAATGATCATGTGCTTTTGATTTCACAAAGGTATAAAGGCTATGCTAATTTACATATTGGGACTCAAGTTTTGTGACTTGGGTCCCCAGAGTGCCTTTTTAGTACTGTACAGAATAAACAGGTTGCAATTTCCCAACTTGTGTGTGATTTTGGCTCTTCGCACCAAGTGAACAATCCCAGCATTTGACTGGGCCAATCCACAGCTTGGCCAACAGTACCATAGCTGCTGTCTGCCTACCAATTCAAGCTCATATCAGACATCTGTTTGGTTCAAAATACGTTGATAATTCAATTAGCTGCACAGGAAACAGATGTAGAACTTGCCTTTCCCTGATGTATTTATGCACTTAATTTTCCCTGCTCACAATAGCTCCAATACTGAAATGAGCCTTCTGGGGCAAAATAAGCAGAAGTGAGACAGTGTTGGAGATGAATTTTTCTTTCAAACCATCTCAAGTTCAATATACTTATTAAAATAGGGGAAACCCATTCCTACTTTGTATACAGATTGATTCATGTACTTTTCAACACAGGCCTAACCCTAACTAAATCCAAACGTGTCAAAATATACATTAGATAAATTATCTGAAGAGGAGCCTGACTAACTGATTTGGAGTTATTTTGCGGTGCAAATGAAGTCAGTCAAGTTACTGGAGTAATTTAGATGGGCAAATCAATTGCTTCTGCTATCATAATAATTTGGAACATAGAATAAAGCAAACGCTCTATACTTCAGTAGAGTACCTTTTAGTAGAGAATTACTATTAAATTACAATAGCTTTAAAACTGTGAAGTATCTTAAAACAACAAAAGAGAAAAGAATAAAGAGCAGAGCTGGTATATTTAAAATTGCTTAGAAACCTCAGAAGCACATGTTCTAATGGCCAGCCTAAAACCAAAATGAAGATGTTGTCAATCTAGGGTATTATTACAGAGAATGCTTACCTATATTTCTACCAACCTAATCTCTATCAGTGGTAAGCCATAACAGAGAGATAATTCCAGCCTCTAGCTTTCATGACAATAAAAACATATTTAAACTGAACGAATGAATAAACCATGTTAAATACTTTAGCAGTTATTTAAAAACATGGCTAAATCACGTACAGCATTTCTACAGTGATGGGAGTGGAGCTGGGGAGAGGAATTGTATAGGTCATTTTGCCTACTGGGCCCTGGCCCAGGCACCCATTTACTGGGGTTGTCCTGCCAGACTGTCCCTCATATGTGGATTGGGGTGCTTGTTGTTACATCAGTCACTTGTTTTGGACTGTTTTTTGAGGAGTGGCAGTGGGGAGTGAGATTACCCACAGGAGTGAAGGGGCAGGGGCAGTTGAGAGGTTGCTCGGGTCTCTTGCAGGGGGCAAGTGTGGTTGGTTGCAGTGGGGGCGTGAGTGTGGTTGGGTGGGTTCCTTGGTCTGAGAGGATGGGGATGAGGAAAGGACAGCTGATTAAGGTAATGACAAGCAGAGGAAGATGTGGGGAGGGTGGGGCTGCTGGCTCAGTGCAATCTCACTGTCCAGCCCTCAGTATTTCCCCCCAATGCTAATTTGCTGGATCCTTGGTGGCCCTGGGCTCCAGTTGCTGCTACTGAATGCCTGGTTGGTACTTAGTAAAGCTGTCCTCACCCATGACCTTATTGTGGGTGAGGCAGCCAATTTAGCATGTATAACCAAGACCTGAGTGGGTCCAGACATATGCTCACCTGGGTTTCAAGTGTGGCTGTAAGCCCAGGTAGAGGGTTGGGGTAGCAACTGTCATCCATAAAACATGGTATTCAGAGGCTCTGCTCCACAGATAACCAGATGTAAGACCCTTTAGTTGAAGTGGGCTTTAGGGAGAAATTGAGTTTTGTGCTGCTGTACTCCATCATTGGGTTAGCAGTTGAGTCCCCAAATTGATAGTTCTTGGGGTCTTTAAATTGTACCTGGGTAGCACAGAGTCTTGAGCAGCACATTAGTTCATGGCCACCATGGCAGTGATGCACCTGACCCACATCATTAAGGGCCTGACACATACCAGGGATTGCACCCTAGATCTGGTTCTTGTCTCAGGGCAGTTGCAGCATGATCTGGTAGTGGAGGACATTGCCATCAGTCCTTTGCCATGGTGTGATCACTCTCTGATCACTTTTGGACTTGCTGGAGCTGCCCCATTCTGTAGGGAGGTAGAACTCATTAGGTCGGTTTATCCTAGGCTACTAAGATGAGTTCCAGAGAGAACTTGGAGTTTCTCTAAGGATCTAGTGGGCAACTGAACCAAGGCCTTAGTTGTGACCTGCAGTGGGCATGTGAAGAGGGCCTTGGGCTGGATTATTCCTATGTGGCCTTTCACTATGTGACAATCCTGGACACCCCTTGGTTCTCTGAGGAGCTCCAAAAGATGAAGCACCAGAAAAGTAGAATGCCATTGGAGAAAGATGAACAGTGAACCCTCTGAGCATGGATTACATTGAGGAATAAGAGCAGCAAAACATACTTATTTTTCCATTCTTATCATGGAAAAAATAGCCATCCAGCAGCCATGTTTAAGATAACTCGTTCCATGTTGGAGAGGAACAAGTCACAGGATCATTTCCAGGGCCACCGTTATCTATTTATCTGGCAAATATAGTTATTTGGATTTGCTTGGAGTTGGATTTCAACTGGGAAAGTCCTTGCATGGTTAGATGGGATAAGTCTGAACCTATAACTTCCAAGGACAAAATTCTCAGGATTCTGAACCCAGTCACCTGTTTATTAGATCCATGTCCCTCTTGGCCTGTGAAGACTGAACAGGAGGTGGCATTTGGTTGGGTCCATGCAGTAGTATCAGCTTCCCTAAGTAGGGATGGTTGCATCTGCCCTGAAGGAAGGTGGTGTACCTTCTCCTCAAGAAGTCATCACTGAAGCCACTAGTCCTAGACAACTTTCAGCCAGTCTCCAACCTTCCCTTTTTGCTGGGAAGGTTGTTGAAAAAGTGGTCAGAAGGCCTTGGAGGAATAAGACTTCCAGTTAGGTTTCAGACTGGGGGAAGAGTACAGCAATAGTATTGATGACGCTTATTGATAATCTCTAGCGAGCCAGCACAGGTGGTACAACCCTCCAGGTTTTCCTTGATCTCTCAGCAGCTTTCAATGCTATCAATCATGGTATTCTTCTGAACCACTGTGGAAGGAGAACTTTGCAAAGGACAGCACAAGCCCTTCCTTCCTATTGTTGTTTTTCCCCCTGTGACTTTAAGGCAGCAGGAGGAGCAGAGGCACATCTAGGGCTCCGATTGCAAAAGGAAGACACTGTTAGCAGCTGAGTGTTACTGGGTATATTGGAAAGGGATGTTTGTTGTGTGGGAGAGGAAGAAAGGAAGAAGTTGCAGAGGAGAG